GTGATAGTGGTGGAAAGATGATAATTTGCTCAGTACATAATAACTATCTCAAAAACGACTTTATATCCGCTGCTAGAAACTTCAAAAAGTTAACTGCTAATGACTTGGGATTTCAAGGTGATAATAGAATTTATATCAACGACCATCTTACACTGGAGAATAAAGCATTATTGAATAAAACCAAATCACTGGCTAAAGAAAGGGGTTTCCAATACGTCTGGGTTCGAGGTTGTAAAATATTTATTCGTAAATCCCCGACATCTGTGAAACACCACATTAGAAACGAAGATGATCTCGAGAAGTTTTTTTGAATAATCTGTGTCAGTATGATAGTGCAACTTGCGCTCTGTTTTGTATCGTCCGAACGGGTTTGAGAACCGTAGCCTCAGGTAAATGTTTTTTCTATGCGTGCCGCTCTGAGTCATCAGTTCGCTTATCGCTTCTTTTAAAATGTAATATCCTATTATTCTACAATTATAAACATTGCAACAGTGATGGGAGGGATGTTAATCGTTTGCATGAGAATTTAATTTTATCAATTAGTAACAGAAACATTACTATTTTATTTACTTATACCTACTTTTTCTTCCGTGAATATAATGAATGTAATGTGAAACATAAAGTTTTTTTTTTTTTATGCAATCAGTTCTTTTTATCTGCGGACTGGATGTACGTACTATTTTGCATAGATGTACTCACATTCTTTTAATACTCATCGATGGTGCCTCTTAGCATTTATTATCAGAATGTTCGGGGACTGCGAACGAAAACGGTTAGTTTTTATCGATCGGTGGCTGTGAATTGCTTTGATATAATTTGCTTGACAGAAACGTGGCTCATTGGGGGTATACAGGATTGTGAATTATTTGATGATAGGTATATTGTGTGGCGAAGGGATCGGAATTATGTACATACAAATCAATCAATGGGAGGGGGTGTTCTAATTGCCGTGCGACGCGAGATTGCGGCTGACGATCGAAGTGAGTGGCGCTCGTCCGCGGAAGATTTGTGGATAACTTTAACTCTTAATAATAAAAAACCTCCTACCTCCTTCAAATTACATCTATGCGTTGTTTACATTTGCAACCAACCTCTTGGAGATTCACTTATGGTTCAGCTAAATAACTTTTCTAGCAATTTACTCGACATCAATATGAAACATGCGGCTGACAAATTCTTAGTTTTAGGTGATTTTAACCAGCCCGGCATTCAGTGGATTCCTGGGAATGGCTGTAGTTATCTGTCTCCGGGTAACGTACAAGGTCATATCCAGACAAACTTCTGTGATATTTTAAATGCTTGCAACTTGTCGCAGTACAATCCATATAGTAACAGTAATGATAGGATACTGGACTTAATTTTATCAAATCATGATATTAGTATTGCTTGCTGTACGGATCCATTGGTGTCAGAGGATCCACACCACAGGGCTTTGTGTGTCTCGGCGGATTTTGTTCACCTACCTCAGCTACCCAGCCGTCCTAGAGTAAGTAATTTATATCATCAAGCTGATTATATAGCCATAAATCAGGAAATGAACAAAGTTAATTGGAATATGGAGTTGAACTGCAGATCCCTTGAGAGCGCTGTTGACTTCTTCTATGATACTATTAAACAACTACATGTAGATTATGTTCCTACTGAAATAATAACGCCGCGTAGTAAGTATCCCCCCTGGTTCAAAAGTCCCCTTGTAAAGATCTTAAAAGAAAAAACAAAATACCATTCCAAATATAAAAAATATGGTAATCTAAGCGATTTCCAGTCCTTTACTATGTTGCGTAAAAGGGCCAAAGACTTGGAAAGGGAAATGTATGTTGATTACATCACAAATATTGAATCAGCAATTTTGAAGAATCCAAAGTCATTTTGGACTTATGTTAAGAGCAAACGGCAAACTAATTCTTATCCCTCCACATTTAAGTATGGCGAAATTAAATCCAACAATGGAGAGGACATTTGTAATATGTTCAGCAACTTTTTTTATTCCAACTTTCAGGAATCACCTCTTTCATCTGGCTCGGACCGTGTACCCTCCACACACCATAAGCCCTCAACAGCAGATATCTGCTCCGTTGAGATAGTCGAAGAGCAGGTATTTCGATTACTTAAGCACGTGGATGTAAACAAGTCGGCGGGGCCAGATAACATTGCGCCAATCTTTATATCTAAATGTGCTAAAAGTTTGACTGTCCCGTTGTCAATACTATATCGGAAGTCTATGGCTGCTGGAGTAATGCCAACTGTATGGAAGTCGGCGTATATAACGCCTGTTCATAAAAAAGGACCTAAAAACGTTATAGAAAACTACAGACCAATATCCAAATTGTGTATATTTGCCAAAATTTTAGAAAAACTAGTACGTACACAGCTATCTTCTACTCTTAAACATTCCTTCTTGGAGCAACAACATGGATTCATTAAGGGCCGTTCCACTACATCTAATCTTGTTGTCTGTAGTGATTATTTGTCTGAACATATGTCAATGAGGTCCCAGGTGGACGTTATATACACCGACTACAGCAAATGCTTCGATCGAATAGATCATCTTCAGCTATTGTATAAGCTGGCTTGTATAGGTATCAGAGGTGACTTGTACAGATGGTTTGCATCCTATGTGGAGGGTAGATGTCAGATAGTGGTTCTTAACGGATACTCATCAAGATCTGTCCGTGTCCCTTCCGGAGTGCCTCAAGGGTCTCTTCTGGGACCCCTATTGTTCAATATTTTTGTGAATGACATTGATGCATGTTTTCAAAATTCTAAGATTCTACTTTTAGCAGATGATATGAAGATACTGAGACCGATAATGACAGAATTGGATGCAATATCTCTGCAGAAGGATCTTGATAACTTTCAGGAGTACTGTGTCGTCAACAAACTGGACCTAAATGTTTCCAAATGTTTCGTATGCACTTTCACACGCAAACCGAGGCCTGTCCTTTATGACTATAAACTCTCAGGGTGCACAATATCCAGAGTTAACAACATTAGGGACCTTGGTGTGATTTTTGACTCAAGGCTAATTTTTGATACCCATATAGATAAAATAGTGAATGAGGCATCTAAGGCTTTGGGTTTCATCTTCAGAGTCTCTTCTGAATTTCGTAATATAAAAACATTAAAAATTTTATACTGTGCGTTCGTCCGCAGTCACCTGGAATACGCCTCGCAGATTTGGAATCCTAACTACGCCATATATGTAGATCGTGTCGAGAGTATTCAGAGGAGATTTCTTAGGTACATCCAGTTTCGCTCTAAAACTTACATAAATAACTATATAGATCGTTGCAAGCAGTTTCACACCCTTCCATTATGTGAGCGCCGTAAAATTGCAGATTTATCATTCCTGTTCAATATAGTAAATGGCTCATTAGATGTACCGGAGTTGGTGGACAGAATAGGGTTGCGTGTGCCTTCTGCTTTTCTGCGCAAACCTGTACTTCTTAACGTCCCGTCTACCAACACTGTTTATAGACAAAATTCATACATGATAAGAGCGTGTCGGACATACGATTCAGAGTGCCGGAGGATTGATTTAGATTTATTTCACACTAGCGTACGTAGATTAAAGAAATTAATGTCTTCAAGTTTCTTTCAAACATAATATCTTATTTCTTTTTGTTTTTCTGAACAGTTTTTTTTTTTGTTTCGTCATTTGCTGTCTTTTTAAACTAGTAATTTAATTACCTATAAGCGGAAACTTGTTATTGGCCGTTTATCTATAATTTAATCTATCCTTATGTTATACCTAGCTGTAAGTTTTCCTAAAATTGTAAAATAAAATAAAATAAAATACTAGTTTTGGTATTTATGTAAACTTTACATTTATCATATTTTCCAATTGGAAAATACAATTTATAACATCCCAACTGAAAGTTCTAGTGATTATTGCATGCCCTTGCATTGTTGACATTGTCTGATATTAAATTAATAATTGTTTATTAGGACGCAGTATTTACGGCGAACGTTTCGAAGACGAGAACTTCAAGCTGCGCCACTACGGTGCTGGATGGTTGTCCATGGCCAATGCTGGCAAAGACACCAATGGATCTCAATTCTTCATCACTACAATTAAGACTCCCTGGTTAGACGGCAGACATGTTGTCTTTGGAAAGATCCTGGAAGGCATGGTAAGTAATTCCTGCCTAAATTCTTATTAGTTATATTGTATTTTGTAGCTGCATAAAATAAACAATGCAACAAAATTAGGACTATGGATTAAGTACATTAAACTACCAACTGGTTTGTTTAGAATAACACAGCTGGTTTAAGCTTAGGACAGTTAGTCAACTTCCTACACAGTAATATCACGAAAACTAGATTGGTTTAATTTTTTTTTTATAACCATTGATTGTATTAACTGCTGTAATGCACTTTGTTTTAAATATAAACACAATAAAAATTAATACTAGTGTTTGAAGAACATTGTATTGTAATAAATCTTACAGCCAATTGTGTAAATACAAAACTAATTATGCACTTACTGCATTGTTTTGTTCTCTCTTGTGTGAATAATTACACTTTGAAATTGGAGCTACAAAAGAGACTGAAGTGAAAACAAATAACATTTCTGAGGACTGTCAATCATACCCATGAAGCTTTCTTGGATTCTAAATAACATAGATGTTTGTTTACAGGATGTTGTTCGTAAGATTGAGAAAACTGTGACTGCTGCCAATGACCGCCCAGTGAAGGATGTGGTAATTGTGGACAGTAAAGCAGAAGTTGTGTCAGAACCTTTCAGTGTCACAAAAGAGAGTGCTGTATAAAATAAATACATTTATTTATAAAAAAATAGGTTTAACATTTGTAGCAACCAGTTCATTTTGCAATGAATTTAATAATAAAAAAACTATTGTATTAGTTTTGTGCCACAATTTTTTGTCACAGGGGGACATAATGAGATTTTATTAATTTAGTTCACATTATTATTTCTATAAAACATTAATGTAAGTGAAACATGCCAACACTATTTTTCTTAAATAAAAAGTTATCTCCTACACAAGGTTGTTTATTTGTTTCATACATAGTTCCGCTTCTTCCTTTACATCTTGATTTTTTGACATAACTCCCAACTTCCAAGCGTAGCCACAGGACTTTCTTGCTGCATCTAATAGTTGTGTTTTGATATAGGCTCTTCCTAAATTAACATACATAGTGCCTACATCTTCAATCTTTGATGACTTTGCCAATTCAATAGCTTCCTTGAAATATTTTATACTATCATCAGCAAGTCCAAGGCTATCACATACAGTACCAATGTCATTTAATTGAAATACTATTTCTTCTTTCTCCATATCTGGCATTAGTTTCATCCTATCAAGGGAACTCTTCATTAACTTTAAGCCTTCTTCACATCTGTTGAGGTCTACAAACAGTCTGCCATACCAATCTTCCGCCATTGCTAGGAGTTTTAGTGTCGCATCCGATGGGTCTGTCTCCACCAACTTATGTAATTTCTCTATACACCAGTCATATCCCAATTGTGCTGTAGAATAATCTTTCTTCAGATGGCTAACTCTTGCTAATTTGACACTGAGATGAATAACTCTAGGATCGTCTTCTAGTGCACCATCTGCCATAATTCTTTGTGTAACAGCAATAAATAATTGTTTAGCTTTATCTAATTCTTCCCTCTGAAGAGCCAAATTCGCCATTACGTCATAAACATAAGTTATACCAAGTTCGTGATGAATTTGTTGAGCCTGTCTCAATGCCACATGAAGTAACTGTTCAGCTTTCTCATATTCATTTCGCTGAATAAACAAGATGCAGTGTTTTATTGTGTGAACTAGTTCATCTTCAGCAGTCATTTTCTTTTCAAATCCAAGCCAAGTGAATAAAGAAAAAGCTAGTACACATGGTTTTGTAGTCTTGGGAATGTTGTAAACTTTAAATGATGCATTATGAAATGATCGAAAACTGCTAGTTACTCTAGAAAATGTGTTCCTCAGCAATCTGTATCTACTGGACATTATAAGGCACGGATGAAACGAAATATTTATTGATATTAAAATGTATTACATAAACACATGAGTTTTGCTCTATGCGGCTTGTAAACGCTAAAAGTTGCCTTAAATTAATAGATTTTAGTGAATATTTCGTTAATTATCAGTACTGGATTACTTGACTCAACATTATATGGAAAGATAGATGATAAGAAAAATTTAATTCATTTTTTTGTTTTTCACAATAATACAATTTTAATTTTTTACATTTGTTTTTTTAAGATTGACAGTGACACTGATAGAATAGAAGGAGAAGAGAACCATAGACTTCATAGATAGATTATTCGATGTTTATGTGAATAAGGTCCTATAACTTTAGATTCCAACTTCTTCATTCAACAAAGCGTTACCTACCTATTTAACTTAAAGCCTGCCTACTGACTGACCTCTCTATTATATAGAAGCCATCCTCATCCCAAGGACGTTTGAAACAGGTCCTTGATTTCACTCTTCCCTTTCTATATATGAGTAATTTCTATGGGTATGTATAACTTTTAAGAACGCATTTGAAAATTTGTGAAACAACTGATTATTCGTTCTTTAGTTTTTATTTGTTCTTTAGATTCTTAATATTTTTTAATTTTCACTAGCCTAAAATTTTTTGATCCTCCGATATCATAGATTGTCATGGTTATAAGAAGACTAATTTATAAAATTAGCTGTGGTACAACTCTATTGTGACTGAGACGAGTTTGTAAATAATGTCTATTCCAATCTATCAAAAATCTGTCAATGTCATATATGGAAGATAGTAAAGCGCAGAAGCGAATGAATGATTAAGAATTATTTTCCCAATAATTTTATTTTATCTCGTGGTGTGATCGTTTAATAGTGTCACCATTATAGTATATAGAATTAGAAAGCTAGTCTCTACTGGTGCAGAATCAAACGTGTATGCTTATAATGATAGGATTAAGTTGACGTAACAGTGGCCTATTCCAATAACTTGATTATTGGAGTAATGCTGCCACGGGCTCAAGACGCTTTCGTAACAAACTAAATGGCAAAACATTAGTAGATTGTAAAGATGATGTACGGTACCAATGGCTCAGATTTTCCTCCTGTAACAGAGGACACATTTTGTAAATATGTTTTATACTACGAAATAAATAATTCAAGGTATGTTAATGTTCTTCGTCCTTGGTGCTTTTTGTTGCGTTTGTGTGGCTCATTATCTGTTCTTTCGCAGGGTCCGTATTTGGGATTTAATTATTTTGATACCGAACGCATTGTTTGTGCTTTTCTTAGTGGTAAGGTTTAACAAAGCTCAGCTAAAATTGCGTGCTACCAGCAGCCCTATATTCTTAACGTTTTACACATTGGTATGGGGCAATGTGATCATAAGTCTGGTGCGATGTGCGGTGTCCATGACTGTAAATGCTGCTATGCCACTGGGTGGACTGGTGGACAAGGTGTTGTGGGTCATGGTGAGATTTTTTCTGCTCGCAACAGAGATGAGTGTTGTCATATTTGGATTGGCTTTTGGTGAGTTTTTCATTGACCTTCATTGTTTTTGTCCATTACCTTGTTTTGTTTGTCATCAAAGTCATTGATACAAACTTTCACTAGATTATTGTTTAATCTGTCAAACACCAAGCGGTCACCGGTGACCGCGACCTATTGTTCTTTAATTGTGTCTATAAAACCGGTACTCAACGAGTTAAATTATATTATTATTGTTGACTAGCTTCTGCCCGCGACCTCGTACGCGTAATCCCATTTTTTCCCGTCCCCGTTCGTGAATTTCGGTAAAAGTAAAAAAAAATTGGTTAAAAAGTATCCTATGTCGGTATCCTGGCTCTAAGCTACCTCCCTACCAATTTTCAGCCAAATCTATTCTGCCGTTCTTGAGTTATAAGTGGTGTAACTAACACGACTTTCTTTTATATATATAGATTTTGTGAGTAAAAGTATAAATATATTTAACAGCAAGGAGTTTTCAACAGATTCTAATTAATCATTGTGTGTTTCAGGCCATTTGGATAGCCGCAGCAGTATTAGATATGTGTTACTGGCAACATCACTATTGTCCCTTGCATTCACTGTGACACAAGGTACTCTTGAGATTGTTATGCCAGATGACATGTTTCATGTGGACACCAGAGATTATGACCTGTTTGGACATGGTGGGATGCTGTTCTGGTTTACATCATCTTTAGTCTTTGCACTAATTTACTTCTTAATACTGCTATTGCCATGGATTCCACTCAGAGAATATCTAGCTTTACCAAGTGAGTATTTTGTTTGTCTTTATTTTAAAATTCTGTATCCAACAGCAAAGCTATTGTTATTGTTAAACTGTCAAACACCAAGCGGTTACCGGTGACCGCAATCTATTGTTCTTTAATTGTGTCTATAATGACGGTACTCAATGAGGTAATGCAAAGTTAGCCACCATGTTAAAGCTAAGTTAACCATGCAATTTGATGATTAAGAACCTATCAATAATTTTTAAATATGAGTAATTATCTTAGTTTCTTATTCAGGCTAGGAGGATTTGCAGATATGGTAGGTAGATGTCAAAATTTAAAAGAAGTTAAACTTAATAAAAGTATTAATAGCAGAAATTACTTCAATTATTTTATTGTGCTAATTAAAATCTTATAATATAACAATTAATTTTAGTATTAAAACAGTTACTTATAAAAACTACTGGAATTTAGATATTTTATTTGCAATAACCATTAAACAGAAGTAATGAATCATAAAATTAGAGAATAATCCTACAATAACAATTATTTAACAAGTTGTAATTGTTTTGTTTCTTAATCAAATTGCATTAAATGTTACTTTTGATAGGAGTGTAGTGTTTACAATAATTTCCTGTTCTAGAGGGCTTAGTATAACTTTGTTTTATATTTAATGATATTGAAACATTACCGCAAGTGGTGCTTTTAATTGTCTACTCCAATGAACCAACCAATCAGAGTGCTAAATGTTTCGATCTATGTTAAATTTAAAACAAACTGGTACTAGGTCCTCTGTTATCTTTTATAATTACAACAATAAATTATGGAAGTACAACCAGTTTGTTAGTGATTTATTACTGAAAGATAGTAGTGTTTATTATTGGATAGTTGAACATGCATCTCACATGTCTTGGACACCGATTCCACACAAACATCATAGCTAATGATCTGATGCTGATGTTATTACTTTTCTAATTAAGATAAAATTGTCTTGGTTATTAACTAACAATTTGGATGATGAGTTAGGTAAATGTTACAAGGTCATAAACATCTGTAATATTTTGTCGTAATCGGGATAACTTTAATATTGAGCCAAGTGGTCGCAAGTGCGACTGCTGGGGAAAGGGTCTCGGGTTCAATTCCCGGGTCGGGTAAAGTATTACTGGGTTTGTAATAAAAATTCTCAGTAGTAGCACAGAGTCTGGAAATTTGCCCAGTTTATGGCAATAGGCTCTCTCCCTATTACATAGGACTCATAACATAAATAATGAAAAGAGGGTGTTACATTGTACAGTGGCATTAAGTGCCATAATGGCACCTCTGTCTTTCCCTTCAGGGATAAAAGGACTGATGTTATGTCATGTCTCATCTAGATATCTTGACCATGCAGTGTAATGCTAATTTCAAGATCTTAATATTGTTTCACAGTAATACATCCTAACTTAACAATGTCATAATATATAACGTCAGTAACAGTATCATAATAACGCTTGAATTCTCTTACGAGCAGACTGATAAATAAGTGGATAGTGTTGCATGTATATAAATAAGTATACCTTTCGGGGCAGAAGCGAATGTAGAGAGCGCCCTAGATAAACATGTCATAAGCGCTACCTCCATTTTCTTTGTGCCACCGTCATGTCACTATGGCACGCGCGTCTCGCAGCGACACGGCGCCCCTTTTTAATTTGGCGCCCTGCAGTTGACTAGTTGGCCTTAGGTATAATACGGTTCTGCTTTGGGGTAGTACCATCCCTAATTGATTTTGACGTGACAACGTCTTATAAATTGGTTTGCCGGGTGACACTTCAAGAAACTGCGTTACGCTCCGCTCACAATGAGAGCGAGTGAGAGGCACGCGTCCCTTCCACTCGGGCATGCTGTTCTGCTTTGGGGTAGTACCATCCCTGATTGATTTTTTAACAAGCAACATAATATACTACTTATTTCTCAAGTCCCACAGGTGAGATGATAAAATAAAATTGTGTAACTTATCCTAGGTAGTAGATGACTGCACGGTTGCGGGTCCGATTTCCGCACGGAGCAACTCTGTGTGATCTACAGATTGTTGTTCCGGGTTTTGTTGTCATATGTATGTGACCTTGTATGTTCGTAAACTCACCCACGACACAGGAGGAAATCCTAGTGTAGGTCAAAGTTTAAAAAAAAAGATAGAAAGCATGTTACCATATACCAAAATTACACACTGCGCTATGTGCTAGGGATTTTCGAAAATGACTCGAGATTCGGAGACCTATTGCTCAGTAATTGTAAAATATAATAGTATAATAAAAAGTTCATTATTGCAGTCTGAGTCTGAGTCGGAGTTAGATGGTATTGTAACCAACTGTTATTTTTATGCACTGTTTCACTCCACGCATCATTTGTAAGACTTCAATAATAACTCGCCGAGTGTTATGAGGAAAAATACAAGAAGCATAATTCTGATTTATTGGAAATCATAAAGTTTAATCTGCGAAACTGTGGATGTATTCCGTTTCTTGGTTATTTGACTTAATTACGGATATTTAAGTATGCATGTTCAATGTTCATATACAATAAGTACACAAAATCCTGGTCTTATTGAGTATTTTTTTATAAAAAGCCATCAAACCACCATGGCCGGTACGGAGCCGCGGAGAACTTAATGGGTTACCGGGGCTCCGGCTCGAAGTGCAGGAGTAGGAACGGGGTGGTTTTTAGTCAGTAAGAGTCTGATACTCCCTCTCGCCTCACCCGGGCGGGAGAAGTCATTCGATGATTTCCCCTTTTAAAAAAATAGTATTTTTTTATCTTACAATATACTAAATAGTAAATGTAGTATAGTAAATAGTACTATGTATATAGTTGGATGTTAAGAAATAAGAAGACCAGGAATGTGTAAATAATATACATTGTCCAAACAGCTAACTTTATACTTACTAGATCTCTTTTCATGAAATAATTATTTGACTGATTTTAGTACTAATTTTGATTACTTTTTTTACAGTAAAGCTGGTTTCTTTTATTTTATGGCATATAATATTTGCACATACTAAACCAGCTACTTTCGTTCGGGTTCACCCGCGCTAGGGTCCTGTGATCATAGTGTGATGTTTTATAGCCTATAGACTTCCTGAACAAATGGACTATCCAACAAACAAACAAACGCTCCAGCTATCTAGAACATATTATTTATTTACTTAATTTACAAATTAATATAGTTATTATTATTATTTTAATCTTAATTTAGTTTAGTATTTAATTTAGTAATATTTAGTTTTAATTGTTTTTTAAGTAATAGTTAGTTTTTAATTTAAGTTTTTTATTTGAATAAATGAGATTATACTAATATAGTTAAACTTTGAACTATTTCTATTACAGCGAAACTCTCATTCTACCTGTACGTGTTGCTACTGGCGCTACTGGACACGACGCAGGCCGTCGGCGCGGGACTCCTCGCCTGGGGCAACATGCAGTCTGGTCTCTGCGTTGTCGATGTTACCACTTGGCTATACTTCTCTTTATACACTCCTCTTGTCTATCACACATTCCTAAGCGAGTTTTTCAGGTAAGTTTTAGTATTCATAAGCTTTTTGTATGCAACTTTATCTTCGGCACTTAAATCATCATGAATTATGCCGGAATACTGAAACGTTACTCAATTTTAAGTCGTGCTTAAATATCGTGCCATCTCTGTCATTTTACAAAGAATTTGTGGAGACAGAACTATACTTAAGCGCGACTTAAAATTGAGTAGCGTTTGAGTATTCCGACATTATACACCTTAATGTTTCTGTCCAAGGGAAGGCAGTGGATATTCTTTTATGATGTTTAAGGATTTCTCGATCATAATAGACAGCAGTCTCAACACCGAGAACTATAAAATTCTGTCTCTACTTAGGAATGTATTTAAAGGATTTTCAACCTTATTCTTATGTAATAAAGTTGAAATTCTAGTAATAAACTTCCTGAACTATTTCGTCGTCGTCGTAATCATTGTCAATACTTCTAACCCTGGATAATGTATCTAGCCTAACCTTGCCCTTGAAGACATTATAATTTGCAATCACATAATACCTTGTTTATGTATGGTTTCAGCGTGTCTCAACCGAGCATCATGTTCTCGTACAAGGCTCAGATGGACGAGCCGATGGACGAAGACCAGGTTTCCTTACCGCACCAACAGAGCTTCAGTTCTTTGAAGACAGATTCAGATTACATTTATCAGGTAATGTTGTGATATTTGTTTAGAACTCTACAATACACTGCTAAAATGACCTGAAATTCATAAAATTGACGACCTAAATGACATTGGTGTAGTTAGATCTCAAATATTTGTATTTTTCAGCAGAGTAATAGCGTATACGACAGCACATTGTTCGAGGCCGGCGGGACCACGCCTATGAACCCGGTGTACAGCGCGTCTCTACAGAGCCCTGACTCGATAGCGTCCGGCCAGTCCATGGAGATCGGAGTACCCAACTCAGGCTTCCAAAGCCAAAACATGCCCTCAACATAACAACAATCACGGCACCAAACGCTCGTCATTGTGTTATCCAATTCCACACATCCAAAGAAAAAACATTAACTATATTATTAGAGTCGCGTTACTATAGATAAAGAGAGGATATAGCTAGTTGATATTATTTTCTACTTTAATGAATCTCATAGGTAACTCTTTTATATTAACAAACACAATATGTTGTCTTGCGTACCGTTACTTTTGTGATAAGTAAAGCCAGTGATCAAATCGAATTATTGAGACTGCATTTCATCCCATTTCTGCTAACTATTATACTTACCTAATTCATCGTGTAATGGCTCCATCCATAAGATTCTGACATTAGATTAAAGTAATAGTGGTTAATGAGTAGATTTATTATAAAAGTTGCTGTGACAGTAGTGACTTGTCTTGTGATTTTATATTTAGTTGCCTTGTTCAGTTTTTTGACATTGCAGCAAAGAAACTTAAAAAGTTGTAAGCAGGTTGAGCGAATATTAAGTTAGATTCTCTATTCTCGAAATATAGTACCTAATGTAATTTAACTCGGAAATATTTCTGTAGCACTTGTGATTGAAAGCTATTGGTTATGACTACGTCAGATTTGAAGTATGGAAAAGATTGATTATTTTGAGAAACATGGATAAAGTGAATGGACTCTTACTTTAATTTGACCATATCGTTTATATTTAAAGTACATAAGCGTAACTCATTAAACTTAACATATCTGAACTAAACAATTTATCGATACAAAGCAATCATTTGGAACTAAGTAGTGTTCATTTACAATTTCAGTGTTGACTGTCCTTAGATTTAAACGAACTCATATAATTGAATGCAGTCTGCACATAACTTAGTCCTTTTTATAATGCTACAGTATTCATACTTCAAGTATTAGAGACGGGCGCCGCCAGGATTACTTTTAGGGTATCTGTGTTCTACATTTCATATCCCATCTCGTCAGGTCCATCGAGAAAGAAACTTTGACGCTTGACTTATATAATAAGCGAGGTCTATAAACCTACCACAATCTCTCGCTTACAAGTAATTATACCTCTTCGGTGTTATAAAAGGATCTCTAGATCTTTACAAATTGTTTAGGCAATCTATTCTTGAATTTATCGTGCGTGCATCGACATCAACTAAGAGCCATTGATGTAACCTCTTGCAGCTTACTACCGGCGCCCAATGTTAGCGACCTATTGTAAAATATATTTCTTTTGTTCTGTGAATTGTGCTACAGATGTTAATTGTAAGTAATGAGTTGTATTTTAAGTGTGATTGATAAGTTACGGGTAAAGTCTGTTTTGATCAAGAAATGGTATTGAAGACTAATTAATTGCTGCATTCACTTGCAGACTTTGCCAGTAATAGATATGTACCTACGTATAGGCTTGTTTATATTGTGTTATTGTACTGTGATGCATTAATCTACTTACTTTTGTTGTTATTTTTTATGAGAATCAGAGTGAGTAAAGACGTGGCGGAAATTGGAATACAAGCAATGTTTTAAATAGATTTAATGAAAGACAATTATACAACTATATGATGTGATCATTATCTGATGGATGATCCTATTGATATTTTTTATTTCAATTGTATCAATAATTTATCTAAGATAGAGTTTTGACTATATAAATATTTAAGTACTTGTCAACACTTTGCGTTACCAATACAATTATTTTACATTTCCCACCTCTAATAAATTTTACTATATTTCAAAATGGTTTTACTGGAGAGTAATCGAATATATTTTTCGTACAAAAACACTTCTAAGGCACGCTGTATATAAGCCTCTTTATTTTACAAACATTTATTGATTTTTTTATTTGCGTTGTACACCAATTTTGATGAAGTGATTTTAAAATATACTCAATCAGAATAGGTCTGAAGTGGTCATGTCAATTCTCTTCAACAGTTTTATCACCACTGAGGACCAAGTCAATTTTTTCCTTTTAAATTGTGATAGTCCATATTATAAATTATATGAAACCCTAAGTGATATTTTGGTTGATGGCATATATTTTTTGTTGTTTTCGTCTCTTAGAAGTTAAATAAAGTAAATACTTTTATTGAAAAAATGTTTTATTTAAACCTTTTAGCTTATTGTAACAAAATAAACAATTTAACATTTATCCAGTTCTTCTAAAATGAAAGGATGCTTCAAGCAATCGTTTACCTGTGCTCTTTGACTAGAATCTAGCATTGTCATCTTATCCAGTAAATCTTTGAGCTGTGTTATTTTTCTTTCTTCATTCATATATATACTCTTGTTACATTTTTTCAGTTCTTGCAGTAAATCTCTGCTGATACTGATATTACTCATTTCAACAACTTTTTCTCTGCCAGTGAATTCATCTTTTTTATGAAGAAGAAAATTATTATTGTAATTGAAATGTTGATCTTTGAATTTCCCTCGCTTTACAAGTTTGCTAGAAAATCTTCCTTTCAAGTCCATGAAGCATTTTAACATTTTATTATTTGAGCTTCCTGTGAATAAAATTTTTCCTGTTGCCATTTCATATATGGTACATGCTGCTGACCAGACATCCACTCCATGTTTGTATGGCACACCTAAAATAATTTCAGGTGCTCTGTAAAACCTTGAAACTAAATAGGGGGTGGGTTCATTGTCATCAGATTTGCCAGCTGAACCAAAGTCACACAGCTTTAATAAATTTTTCTTTTCATTTACTAATATGTTGTCTGGTTTTATGTCTGCATGAATGATACCCAGTTTTTTGAGAAGTCTTAAAGCTAGCAGTAATTGCCTGCTGTAGCTCATTAAAGCTTTCATATTGATGCCATGGTGTTTCCCATATTTCTTTATGACTCCTCTTAAGTCCATGTGTAGAGACTCCAGTAAAAGACAAAGATGGTTTTTATGCATAAAATGTCCAAGGAACTGAACACAGTGGTATTTGTTGTCAGGGTCTGCTTCTCGTATTTGTTTTAGAATTTCTATTTCTTTCAAACTTGTTTTATACATTAGGTCATTGTTTCTGACGATTTTAATTGCTACATAGTCATTTCCTTCCATGTTATCTTGAGCTCGAACCACATTTGCAAATACTCCTTGACCTAAAATGCTTTTAATGGTATATCTATTGTTAATAGTATCTCCTATACGTATATTGAAGTATCCGTCAGCATCATCCCAATTATCGGTTAAATTTAAATTAGTCTCATCTTCATTATGCGATGCATTTTTTGTTGCACCATTAGACTCAAATTCATCTTTCTCTGAGAACATGTCCGTCACTTGTTTTGAAATAATTTGATTGTCTTGAGTGTTCTTCATATCTGTGGTGTTTTCAGCTTCACTGTTGCTAGCCTTGTTGTCATCTTCAGTACTTTCATTGCTTTTTTCATTCAAAACATTAAATTTTTCTAAGAGTTGTTTACGTTGTTGTCGTCTTTGTTGTATTATAGTCTCTTCGTCTTCTGACTCAGGTTGAATATGTTCTAGTTCTGGTGAAGATTCATGATTCGATTTTCTTGTCTTGGCAACTTTACTAGATCGGGTTTCATTATGAACTTGTCGTTTTTTATTAATCATAATTTCATAAGCATAGTCTTCTTTGGAATGCCTACGTTTTTTGTTGTAATCAATGTTAGGTGCAGTGTCAGGATCTTTTACAATTTTTTTTAGTTCTTGTTTAAGAGATTCCCTTTTTTTTAACAATTCTTCCAATGATGAGGTACTTTTGGCAGGCAATGGAGGTGTTTTTGACTCTACATGATGATATTTTTGATCTGAATATTTAGACCTCCTAGACTTTGACTTCATCACAATGTCTCTTTCTTTTTGATATTTTAATGATTTGCTCTGTGAATATCTGGTGTATGCATCTGTCATTTTAACGCCTGTTTGTTGATTGGATTAGCACTAATAAATTCTGTAAGAACAGCACCACTTATCTGTAAAGATACAAAATAATTATTAATTATAACAATTTATAGTAGAACTATGGAAGCCAACTTTGAAAATGGTTTGAAGAAGTATAAAAAATACATGTGTGTATTAAAAGCATTAGCCTTGTGTCACTTTCATGAATGTTGTTCATAGAGCCTGAGATTAGGTATCTGTTTGAGTGTATGAAGGAAATTGTACAACCCTCATGAAGTTGACTGTTTGCATATCTATCTTAAGTATTGTTAACTATATCTTTGATTACATTTCCACCCTGCCACTATCATCAGGTCCAACATTACTCAGTCGTTACTTTTCATGTTGATTGGTGACCTCTCATCTCTTACATGCCTCCATCATATTACATTGTCCAGTTATCAAGTCCAGTGATCAGTGTCACTTAACACTTCCGTCCATGATAATACTATTGTAATGGACTTCAAATCATAATTTCTATGTGCTAGCTAGAAAAAATTGTGCTAATTAGTTCAAATACAGAATAATTATACAATTTTGTAATAATAGTATATCAGCATATGCTTTCGAGTCTTAATATAAACATGTTTAGCCTGGTAAACATGTAGATATTAAGAAATTTTTAAATTACATTCATTATACAGTATTCATAGGATGATCTCATAACAAAGTACAAGTTTAGCAAAAGTTGGAAATTACAAATTTAAATATGTTTTATTTCACACAAAGTTGGTATTTGTATTATTGATATGATTGAAAACAAAGTAAATAGAAGTTCATGTAAGCTCATGCTATGAATACTGTAAGACAAGTTGTGTAACAGAGGAAACCGTACACTTGACACGAATTACAGTGGTTTCTTGCGTTACACAAATAATTGTTAGCTTTCACAACGGGAATTATTTTAGTTCATAATCTCGTCTTCGATGATTCATCAATCAATAGATTTACGATTACATTTTATGCCACACTCAAATATCTTGCTATTTATTACACACAAATCTTCTTAGTATTGCAAATCAAATTACTTGAACGTAGTTTCACTAAAGTGATGCCGATTCTCCGTTTTATCACGCTAACAACCAAACATTTCAGAAAAATTAAAACAAAAATAACCAAAAATTTACATTTTCACGTAAACACCTCCATTTGTAATTTTACGTCACTTTTTGTAGAGATGCGCAAACATTCGACTGATATTCTCACCTATGCCACCTCATTCAACTAAATAAATGGTCAAATGATTTAAACAGAAAAAAATATGATTTTTTCAGATATTGAACAATGACTATCAATTATTTTTAAAGTACACTAAAATTATTTTAATTACCTTGCTTTTGCTGTGTTTACGCCTCAATTGATTACAGGCTGTACCTAATGGAAAATAATTGTTAATGTCACTGTCCTAAGTTGATTTACTGTCAACTAGTGTCAACTGTCAGCCCTTTGTCTAACCTACAAATTAATTTATAAATCGGCGTTTATATTAATTTTATTGTTATTAAAATGGCTTTAATTATGAATTCTATAGCAAGGAATTGTTTCTATTTAAATTTTCGTTTCATGTGTCCATCAAGTTACCTGAGCTTGACACAAAGTATGTTATTTTATTCGACTTATTAGAATTAGAATTAGATTTTGCATTATCTAAAAGCAGTTTAAATAGTGACTTAGTGAGATTATCTGTTGGGATTACACTGCAGTAGATCAAAGTCTTTTTTCACTGAACTGTGTGTAGTCTTTTTGAAACATTTCTTCAATTTTCAGTCAAAACTCTCTATTCGCCTGCCACGCTCGGTATCGATGGGTTCTTACAATCAAGAAAGAGATGTAAGGAACAATTTACTAACTATGCTGAAAAGTTCAGGTCGAAGATGAATGAGTTTGTGTCTAGCAACGATAGTATGATATTTACTGAAGATTTAAAGAACATGGTACATTTAGCTGAACCCACAGACCTAAAGCTCATTTTGAATATGATTCAAAAGTAAGTACTAGTCAAGTACTCTATACTGAAGAATTTAAAAATATGTAGTTTTAAATATCAATTAAAAATATTAGTTGAGTTCTATGATACTTGAAATGAAATGAATGAAATGAAATGAAATGAAATGAAATGAAATGAAATGAAATGAAATCGTTTATTTGTAAACATAGGTTATATAAAGTTGTTTGAAAGATTGACATACAATGCAATACAGCGAGTCCGTCTATGTTTTGCCTTAAAGCATACAAATTCATATGAGTTTTAGTAAATAGATTAATTTAAATTAGAAAACAGAAATACATTAATAGTCATTTAAGTATCTACACAGGAATAAGACATTTATTATGGGGGTTAAACCACTGAGCCATCGTCATCAGTCATATCATAAGCTTTAATCCCTAATGCGAAATGTCATAATTTAATTAAGGAATATAATAATATGGGATGTCATGATAAGCACAAAATTACATAGAATCCAATGTCAGTATGTATCAAAATTTAAGTGGTCAAATTAAAAGGAAAATTAAGAGTATAGAATGTCATATGTACGTTCGACATAGCCAAATCTATGGTTAATCTGATTACTTACTTACTACTTACTAGTAATTTTATCTGTTTTCAGGTTTAATTCTCAAAATACTGAACTGAGATTTGGATCTTATGTATTTGGACCTGTTATTATGAGAATGTTCCATTTCCTGGATGCACCTAAAGAAGCATTACAGGTGAGAAAATTAGTATCATGAAAATCAAGAAAATTTTACAATAATCTATGTCTGGATTATATTAATAAAGGATTATTCAGAGGACATAAAATGGCTTAAATTATCTTTCTACTTAATTAAAAATATTATTAAACCTTCTTTTATGAACCTACTGAACCTTACACAATATCACACACACATATTTCTACCTTTAAAAATAAACCTCTTACAATATTATCATACTCTATTTTCATTCAACACCAAAAACCAAAAAGTATTACATAGTAGAACATAACAAATTTTAAAAACTTACCTAAATTAAAACTATATTTCCAGTGCTTCAATGATCCAAAGAATGAAGGTTTCTTTGACCAAATGATCAGTCACCAGATTCTATTAGACCTGCTGTACAGTCATGAGATGTATGATGAAATGTACAAAGTGTTTGATAAATCACAGCAAAAGCAAATTGGAATGACCAAGTTCCCAAAATACAGTGTGGTGATTGTACTGGCTGCTTGCTACAAACAGGTGAGTGATTGATGAATCTGAGGAAAGAAAAAAATATCATGAGGACTGTATATTGTTTAAAAATTTGAAAATAGAAGACAATGGGAATAAAGAGCACTTCCATGTTCTCTCCATACAATGGTTGTCTAGAAGGAGATTAATTTTTAGTGATAAGCTTGTGTTTAAAAAAATAAGTGCACCCATTGTTTCATGATTTTTTAGATATTTTGGGTCTTTTGTAATCTATGGTGTATAAGAAAGAGTACATATTTTATTGTTATACTTGTACTAGAAAAAAATAGAAGCAATGGCTGCTTTAATAGCATGTTAATAGAAAATATACCACATGCTATTTATGTATGAACATTGTTTCCACATGGTATTTTTTCAAAGTATCATTCTAATAAAACAAAACAACAAATTGATTAATCAAGTTTTTACAGTAAAACCAATACATATTAGATTTATTTATAAAACTTTTCAGAACACACCAAAGAGTTTGGAGTATGCATCAAAACTATGGTCAGATATGGCCAGCTCTGGGAGTGTACCAGTTAGAAGAGCATGCACATTTTTCGCTGGTATGTCCAATTATTTTTTAGTACTTACATTGGTCCACCAGTAACCCTATTCTAATCTGTTAATAAAATTATTTTCATTGTATTTTTTACTTTATATCAACATTCTATCATTTTCAACTTTATAAAGTTGAAATGAATGGAATGGACAAGGTGCTGACCATTAATACACATTATTAATAAATTAAAATTATTGTCTAATAACTTTACAAATATTTTAAACATCAGGATTGGCTTTGAAGCAAGGAGCACCACACATAGCAATGGAATCAATAACATCACAAAAACAGCATTATGTTTCTATAAGGAATATCAAAGTAAGTTTTTAAAATCACTCTAGTTTTACTAGTTACTACTCTAGTTTTTAAAATCACTCTAATATTCAATTTAATAAGTTTTAAAATAAATATTTTTTTAATAAAATTTATCTTAGTATACACACCAGTTGATTATCTTGTATTGCACTTACTTAGCATTCAGGTAAATATGTTCAGTTACTACTGACTGGTACCAACGCCGACGACTAAACTAATACTGATACTTTCGCATAGGCCCCGGCAGGCGGCAACACGGCAAAATTTAGTCGTGGTGGGGGAAGTTCGCGCATTGTGTACATTCTCAGTATTTCTTAAAACTTTATGGTTATTGCTATTATTTGGGCTTTCCTTATTCAAAAATATATTATTTCGGCTGTTCAATACAATAAAAAATAAAAGTTAATCACACTTTCATTAATTGATTTAATGACCAACTTAAATTTAGTATTTTTCAGCAATTTTTAAAAAAATTACGTATGCTGTTTGACGTTAAAAAAGGTGACGTCATTGTCGTTTTTGAAAGTTCGAAAAAAGTATTGAATTGAATTTGACTAATTGGCAAGTACCCAATTATGTTAAGGTAAAAGAAAGTTATTGTACGAATTAGTTAGGAATGGTATTTTTGCATACACAATACGCGACATTCCTACTATGACATCAGCGTCGCTGCTCGTGTCGCACATATGTTGCCGTGCCCTAGCCGGGTTTCATGTTGAAACTGTACCTCATGTAACACCAATTGTACACATGATATGCAATAAAAGAATTTGAATTTGAATTTGATGTTGCCAGACACGTCAACCGAAGTCCGACAACGTCGCGCTACTTACCCAACGTCGCTGGCAACACGTGTTGCACGACATTTACATTTGTCCCCTAATGTATCCTTGGTTTTAGCTGAACTTTTATAAAAGTAATAAATAGTAAAAAGTAGTAAAAAAGTCATAATAATAATCTCTACATTTTGATACTAAAAATATTCAATGAATACAACTAAACAAAAGGAAAGAATTCTTTCTTTTGTTCTTATTCTTTTTTCTAAAATTTCATAAAACAAACGTTATAAAATGCCCCTTAGTTTGTAGTTGTTTAAGTCCTAGACTGCCAATATTTTTTAAAGGTCAATACTCCACTATCGTCATCTGTACCTGTGTGTGTAATGTAAATATTTTTTTTTTATTAGGTAATGGCATTAGCAGATATGGGTCGAGTTGAAGATACGTTTCCAATACTGAGATCGGTATTGGAAATTGATTCGCCCGCGCAGAGCGATAAACATACATTCTTTGAAGAAGCCGTAAGTCATATTAATTAAGTTTGCTAAATTTATTTTGTACCCTTTTAAAAGCTGTATTGTAACTATTTTTATTATTTTATGTTAGGACATTAAGGCTCAATTTACACAAGCCAAAAATTGGACGCGCATCTTCTCGTGCATTCTCGAGAATTCACTAGTATTTAATTTATGTGTTATACAGTTGATATAAAGTTCATTATGCTGTGTACAGTTTCGTTGCAAAAGTCTCCATTCCGCGGCGGTGTAAATTGAGTCTAAGTTAACTTCTATCTCGTTATGCGATGTATCTCTTGTTTGTGTAGATTTTTTTATACAAATATTTTCCGTTGGCTTTTAAATTGGATTTATCAAAATTAGAACAGCTGATTCTGAGATCGTTATTAAAATTTACTGTCTGTTTACCTGTTATAGACCGTTTTTATTTAATATTTTAGATCGAAAGAGTACGAATAGCGGTAGAGAAAGTCGATAATAAAGATATAAAGAAGAAATTCGATGAAATTGCATACGCATTGAAAGACAGAGGACTGATTGATAGTAGCAAGGTAATTCTCAACTTTATTTTAATGTTATTTGATTTGCAACGTTATAACGACGAGTTTTAAGATTAAATTACAAATTCCATCACCAGGTCTAGCAAAAGTGTGATTAGCACTGACTTCTTTGCAAATTATTTATTTAATTTCGGAAACAGTATTTTTATATAGATGGAACAAGCCGTTAAACGAGCAGACAGATCACCTGATGGAAAGCAATTGGCGTCGCCCATAGACACCTGGAACACTAGAGCCTTTATAAGTGCATTACCGGCCTTATGTAGATTAGGAATTAGGATTGTTGGGGAGATTGGGGAAGGGGCAGGCTTATTAGGCAACCTCACTTACTCGAAGAAACACAAAGCAAGTGTTGTTTCACGTCGGTTTTCTGTGAGGCCGTGGTATCACTCCGGTCGAGCCGGCCCATTCATCCCGAAACACGGCCCTCCCACACTTTAATTATGGTTACATATTATTATTGCCTTTACTTTAATAACAATGGTTTTTACTATTGCGTTAAATTATGTAACTACTCAATTCATAGTCTTATAGAATAGTTTGTAACATACTATTGTTTGGTATCCAGACCTTGGACCAGCTACTCAACATGGAGATAGACAGACCAAGGACATCAGATCAGAACAGAGGACAATCTAACTTTGCGCAGAAAAAAAAACCACTCGGACCGCGCCCGAAGAAACGAATTGTATAGCGCGAACAAAGTTATTTCATACAAGTCCATAAAGTAGCCTGTTCTTAGTATATTTCGTCTGTACATAATAATTAATTGATTAAACGGCTTATTCATGTGACCTTTTCGAGAAAGCTCAACTAGTTTCAAGTCGCACCGGGACCTATACTCAAATTAACTAAAAATCGCGGGTTACTCACGTGAATATACTGAGAAATATACTAGGGACCTATACTCATTAGTCCACATGAGTGAGCCATATAATTTAATTAATTTAGTATGTCTTAGATAGCTAATGTATATAGTAGTGTTGCGATTGTGTGAAAGTATGTGAATAAAAGGCTGTTTTATACAACCAAACTAAGTGAATAATGCACCATAAAGTAATGTAGTTATGGTCGATATTTGCAATGCATCTTGTGTTATATTTTGTTATTTGCATTGAAATATCAACATTATAGTACAATTTTTACGGTGCTATATTTACAATATGAACTTAAATGATGAGGTCCCCAAAAATAGTGCAATTCGGTAACAAAGCATTTTTCAAAAAGTTTTTATTATTTACATTATGTTGTTTTGTATGTTTGTTGAGTCTGTGTTTAAAATAAAAACAAATTAAAAGTTGAAACTTACATTTTGTTTGATTTTAAATTGAATAAGCTTATTAAATAAAAAAAAGGGAGCCGTTACTGTTACAGCTGCCTTCAACGAACTGCCGTAGTGTGCCTTCATTTTACATCACGGCAGAACATAGCGTCCCACGAGTCACATAGATCTCAGGATCATACCAGCTAAATTAATTGGAATAAGAACCTAAGATTTGATTTGAACTCAAGTTATTGTATAGTGAGCCCGAGCGTACGGCGCGTCGCGTTCCGCGCGCGCCTCAAAGAGCCATCAGACCACCACAGATAGGGCCCAATAGAGCTGTTGCCGATTCGGAGTCGCAGAGAACCTAACGGGTAACCGGGGCTCCGGCTCGACGTGCAGGAGAAGGAACGGGGTGGTTTTTAGTCAGTAAGAGTCTGACACTCCCTTCCGCCTCACCCAGGCGGAGCAGTCATTCGATGATTTTCCACCCTTAAAAAAAAACAAAAAAAATTGTATAGTGAGAGCAAATAAACGTCATGCCGCATCCTAGTATCATATGAAAGTGTACAAGCTGTCAAAGCACGCTATCGAATGTTACCGTCACGCTGGGGCTTTTGTTCTGCGACGGACGTATACCTATTGCTGAATGATGACAACGAAAAACATTATTACAAAATGTTCTATGCAATTGATGCGTTAAGAGACCATGTAGAAGGTATCTAATACATATCATACGCGTAACAATGTAAGTACTAAGGTACAGTAACGCCCACGACTATGAAAATGTGCTTACGTAAATAGGTAATATAGACATGTCTGTTAACAAGCTGGTATTTATTACATACCAGTATCTACATAGGTACTATTATTAGCCATGTACTCGTCTGAAAATAGACTGTTACGTTATCTATTCATTTTAGGATTAGCTACGTATCCTGTATACGTATCTTTTGTGTTTGTATACTAAGTTGAACGTACTGGGGATTCAATAAACTATTACCTAACGTAATAAGCGATTAAATGTACTACAATACCAATTTGATGAACTAAGTTGGTACCGATATACACATTTCAATAGTAAGTATTGCCTCGTAGGTTCGTTAATCGTAATAGATAACTAGACATCCAGTTTTGAACGGGACTGCCCTTTTTTATAATTACGAGTCCCGTTGTCGCTGAAACGAAATCTGGGACGCAAAACAGTCCCGTTTTCGGAAAAAATTGGGTAAAAATTCAAATAATACAAGTAAAAAAAGTAATAACGTAGAGTAATAAGTAAGTCACTAATTTTTGACGAAGTAAAGTCGAATATAATTAATTATCAGTAATTACTTACTTACATTTTTGTGCCTTAATTGTTAACCTTATTGTTGCGAGGCACAAAGTTTGTGTTTACATGGTCTATAATAGAATGTAGCTAAATCAGTCAGGCACTGAATATAATTGTCCCGTATTAAGTCTAAGAGAGATAGAAAAAAAGCCCACGTTAGTCATAGAAGCAGGTCGCTTCCAAGTTTCAACCGACTGATCTGCAAGTCATCAGTTGAGGGAAGCCTTGGTTAAGCTGTGTTCACTTATTCGTTAAGTAATGGAAGTCTCTTGGTAACATAATCACGGTCACATAATCTTTTATACACATTTATCTGGACTTTAAAAGAGACGGACCTCTGGGTCTGTTTCGGCATTTCTTGTCAGAGTCGTCAGTTAGGAAATGTCGACCTCATCGTTCGCTTGATAACATTGACGTGTAAAAATGCTGCCTTGTAGCCTATTTGCAGAAATAAATTTACTTGTTTCACTGATAAGATGATGACGATTTCTTCGATAGCAAAATTCAACTACCTTGCAGTTTAAAAAGAGAGTGAAGGATTACCAGATTTTTTCTATACGTACTTCTATAGACTTGGTCACCTATTCTAATCGCTAACAATCCCACTATAACAAGAAGTACCTAGGTATTAATTGTAAGTAGGCACGACACTTATTTTCCTTTTACCTTTACTAGACAGAAGGACAATCAATTCATCATCATCATCAACAGCCTATAAATGCCCACTGCTGAGCAAAGCCTCTTCTCACACGGAGAAGGTTAGAGCATTAATCACAACGCTTGCTCAATGCGGGTTGGCGATTTCAAACTTATAATTAGAAATTATAAGTTCAGGTTTCCTCACGATGTTTTCCTTCACCGTTTGTCAGTGGTGTCTAAATAATCTTAGAAAGTACATATAACTCGGAAAAAGTCACATTGGTACTTGCTGTTGGTAGGTTTCGAACCCGCACCCTCATGCATGAGAAGTGGGCGTCTTAAACCTCCGGGCCACCACGACATTCAATTAAGTTAGATATACACATGTAAATGAAGTTAGCCAGTTAGGTACATTAATAAATCAATGTTGTAATCTAAATAATATAAGCTATATAAGTATGCCCTCGACGGGCTGAATATAGTCTCTGTAAACAATAAATCAATCAGTAATCTGGACAATACGTATAGATATTTGGTCGTTCGTCAGTCTAACAATTGAACTGCTTAATTGGAATCCACTGTAGTGCTTACATTGAGTGTGAAATCTATATATATAAAAGAAAGTCGTGTTAGTTACACTATTTATAACTCAAGAATGGCTAAATCGATTTGGATGAAAATTGGTGGAGAGGTAGCTTAGAACCAGGAGACGGACATAGGATACTTTTTACCCAATTCTTTTTTTTTACTTTTTACCGAAAATCAAGAACGGAAACGGGAAGTATCGGGATTGCGCGTACGAAGTTGCGGGCAGAAGCTAGTATGGTGTATAAAGCCTGTCTCGTTAAATATGTACTACTACCTACCTAATTGTAGTTTTTATAAATGTATTAACGTTTCGTATCGTAGGGCAAACAGTTTATGTGTAATTATCTAACTATGTATTAAAGTTACTATTTAAAACTTCAGTATAGCTAATATTTGTAGGTATATTTGCAACCACAATATGTGGATGTAATAATTACGTGTATTTGCCCACACCGACAATGTAACGTAAGTATATCGGAAGTGTTATTTTCAGTCGTAATCTTAATACGGCAATACTATATCTACTAAGTACTTGAAATGTAGTTACATTTCATTAAATCACTTCTGAATAATTTTTCGGTAAATACAGAAGAGAGTTGTAGTGTCCCAAAAGAATACATACATAACTTCACGCCTGTCTCCCGTTGGTGTAGGCAGAGACTATGAAACACCAATTGCTACGATTCTTACACATCTCTCTCGCTTCATCAACAGTAAGAAATCAATCTTTCTCGTATTCATCATTACACATATTTCTAACATCTTGCCTTCAACGACTTCACACGCATTCAGCCAAAAAGAAGACTTGCGGAAATGGCGTTCCGAATTTAGAAATACTAAATGAAAAGAAGTGTAAAAACCATCAAGACTGTTTATGTTGCGGATCACCATGTAAGCTTGAAGGAACCGTTTCGGGCGTGCTCGTTTTATTTTTGGCGAGATTAATGTCTCAACTGCTTTCATTTTGCCTCGAAATCGTCTCGATTATTTCCACTGCTCTTAATTTGGAAGAAAAACGAAATTGAAAACTATTCTTAGAACATAACTGATGTTTTTGACTGATTCTTGGAACATAAATAGGTTGAGGTCAAAAGCTAAGTCATTTACAGTATTAAAAGATCTGTGTCCAACAAAGAAGCGAGGTAACAATAAGAAATGACTGCTTAACATTTACACGGCATACGTATTTCACTTCAAGTAGACTAACGACTGCAGAAGGTAATTACCTCACCCGATTCATTCCATTACCGCTCGTTCAGGAGCGGAAATTAAAGCCTTTTCTATAGAAACTAGACACGTCGTGAAGCAGAGGTTCTTGATAGAAAAATGGTTTTTATTCTTTATAAATGAAGATAGATGTCCTTTGGTTGATACTTAAAATTGAACTCTGTAGTTTAATACTTCAAATAATTTTGTAGTGTTTAGTTGGCAATGTAAAAATACAAGGAACAGCGATAAGATGTTAACTGCTACGCTCATCGTAGTACTACTACGTACGTACGTCGTAGAAAGTGCTACGTGTGGCTACGATCTGCGTAGCACCATAGCTCATAGCGACCAGAATTAGATATAAAAAAAATACTTGAGAATTTTTATTACTGATCTGCACAAAATATTTACGTTGTTAAAGGTAACGAAAATTTTGAGCCAACCTGTTAATGTTAAAATATAAAACCTACTTCTGTCCTCAGTGTAAAAGACGTAATAAAAATATGTTCCAATTTGGCCGCTTGCCCGTATTTATCCAGAGTAAGCGAAACGGGCGATTAAAAGTAATTAAATACCTTTGGTCCACAGCCCGGTGGCGTGTACGAAGCTTCTCTACATTTTTGCGAGGGATGAAATAAAAAGGATGAGGAATGTTTACTGAACCAAAGTATACTTACGCTTACGACACAAGGGAAAATTATAAACGTGTAAGCTTTGTTTCCGTGACTTAGTTCGCGAGGACTTTGTGGATTTTATCTTTAGTGCTCACTTTTTGTTACGAAATTCCAGCAAGCAGATGATATTATTACGCAATAATGTAATTGTGTACATTCTGGCTCAAAACGTGATAAAGTTACAAAAGCTATATACCTACCTATTTTCTTTTCTAAGAAGTCTAATATAAAATGTAGGTAAATTGAGTGAAAAGAAAATTTCAAAGACCTATTTGTTGGTGCCCCGACATCGCGTCGCCGATTTGTATGTCCATTTTTTTCATCTGTAATGGAATTTCCTTTAGATTCCCATAGCTTATAAATATTTACGTACATTTTTTTTATACAATAACACAACCAACATTCTTTGTAATCTGATGAATTATTTATTTTAACAGATTATTCTGAGTGTTGCTTAAAGCTTAGGGAAAAGTGGGTTTTACGCTAAATATGTACAGCGCCCTACCGAAAATTAAAAGCCTAGTGATGGATATTTGCAATGTATGTTCTGGATGTCACTTAAAAAAAACATTTAGTGAAATTTACTTCCATAAACCCCTTCAGTTCCTCATATATTGTAAGAACGGTTGTAAGAACGGGATTATCATAATATTTTGTCAGAGTTACTACTAACAGGGGTCGAACCCACTTTGACCTTGACACGAACTTAAAAGTAAGGTTTGGCTGTTTCCAATGTCAATATTTGTTTACTTATTTTAGACCTAGTGGCGAATGGGATAAAAATATTTTTCCTTTGCAGTTATGAGGGAAGTACGAGTTGACAAACATCAGACGTGAAAACATGAAACTTTTTTGGTTTATTTATTTTTGTCAATATTTTTTCTCGCCTAGAGCTCCTGTATCCTCGTTTGTTCCACCTCTACCTTGATCACTGTAAATATTTGTGTACCTATTATTTTGGCTAGGATTCCCCTACTGATCATTATTTTGGTCTTGTTTCTAGGTACCTATTAATGTGTTAGGTACCCTATAACTGCGTGTCTGTATTTTCAGCAACAATTATCTAAACATTACATAATTGCCTTTTATGTAATGTTTTTATAGATTAGATACAAAACACCGCAAAAGAATTGAATGTGTTCCAGGTGCTATGGTGCTGTAATCAATTGGCCAATCCAGAGACCATGAGATACGTTCAACAACCACCTTTGTAACAGCGAACACGAGACAGAGTTCCTTATTTATTTATATTCAGCCATGATCGTCCCACTGCAGGGCAAAAGCCTCCCTACCCTCCTTCCACTCCTCTCTATGTAAAGTTTTTTGCGGCCAATCCTTGTCATAGATGTCTTATTCGTCTCGCCATCTTCTTTTGTTCCTGCCGCGACGTTCTACTGACGTTCTTTAAATATACATAATTATTTATTTATTAGTTAGACGTTATTTACAAAACAACGCGGTTTACTCAATCTTGGAGTTTGATTTGCCCTTTAAAGTTCTGACTTTAGGAGCCACGAACAAAGTTTATTTGAAATTAAATCGTACGGTAAACAATGGAGCCACTCAGGTGATTTTAGTTCAAGAACGTTGAAGGCTGAGTAAACATTCAAACTTTTGATTATTCCTGCCATCTTTAGCCAACGTTTTATTAGCTATTGTAACTTACTTCTCTGAGAAATACCGAAAATAAGAGGAAAATAAAATGGCTATAAGAGAAATTCTATAGATGATAATAGTACTTCGACAAAGTAGGTATTTTATAGATAGTCGCTTTAGTAGTTAGAATTTGGGGTGTCACAGGGCGAGAGACGGTGAATTTGCGGGTGATTATGGAATCACCGATTAGGCATACCGTTATAGCAGATGGCTGCAAGCAGACGAAGTTTGGTATTGCGTATTAGTTTCATTCTTAACGGATGGTTAATATTAATAATAAATAGATGGTGATAACGTTAAGATTGCTCGCCATTTGGATTTTTTTTCAGGCAATGTTATTTCTTATAATATGAATACTACGTAATGAGTAGCATGATTTACCGCCCTCTGAACGTGTGCACGCATTGCACGCCCGCTTAATAAATGAAGAGTAGTAAACTCTCCATTTTTAAATGTTTAAAGATAAAAGTTCACCTCAAAAAAGACATCACCTGTAACCAAACACATGCCTATGGCTGACCTCATTGAATCTGGAGCGAGCACTTCGCTAAATTGAGTGATTAATTTAGACACCGCACCCATTGCCCGCACAGGTAACAAATGTACTGCAGAATCAATCACATGGTACATCCATTTAGGAAATGAATGCCAAATGGTACATGCCGACGTGCCTGTTACGTGGGAACGGCCATATTTACAGGTAGTTTTAGGCGCGTGTGTTCCTAGTTTTGTTTGTATTTGTATTTGGAAGGCGAATATGTGTTTGCCTTGTATCTATTTTAAGTAATTGTATTTAACCGCTTGAATGCACCGATATGAGACACAATTGTGTCTCGCGTAAATCCACAAATTAAAGGAGCATATTATGCTCGTCTAACATTAATAGTATATTAATTTTCTTTTCTTACTAGGTACCTGAATGAAGCCGCGGATGGCCTAAAGGGTTGCCGGGGCTTCGGCTCGAAGAGCAAGAATAGGAACGGGGTGGTTTTTAGTCAGTAAAAGTCTTACACTCCCTCTCGCCAACCCAAGGCGGGAGAAGTCATTGGATGATTTTCCCCCCTTAAAAAAGGAACCTGAATGACTTGTCATGCCTTTTTACATCAACGTCAGATTAGCCTTAAATTGCCGACCAATTATTAGCAATCAACACTATTCAATTGTACATACAATAGTTTAAATACCGTTTATAAATCGTTTTAATAGGCTTGTTATTAATGTAATATCTCCAAATAACATATAACTACCGGTATTACAATATTGAAAGCAATTATGCATTGTTTATTAAACAAAATTGAACCCAAATGCTCTAATAATTGAGTGCTAATTGGTCTATTTTCTAAATAGACAAACACTACTAAATGTCGTTTTATTCAGTTAAGTCTTGACGCTCCTAAAGATGAAAGTTTTTAAAGAGAAAATACGAAGTTACTTGGAGATAAAATCTTCTGTCGATGACCCGATTGGAGCTGCTATGGCAATGGTCAGCTCTATACAAAAATTGGTCGGAATTCATAATGTTTTCGGCGATGAACAGCGTAGTAAGTTATTCATAGTAATAAGAATAGTTAGGTACCTACATATGACTGTGAAAAAAAAAATTTAAACCAAAACCGGAGGACATGGTCAAGCTATTGAATAAAACCTTCCTTTTACATGAATGTGATTTATTGGCTGTATTTGTATAGTAAAAATTTGCTTACCACCATTAGATTATTCGATTACTATATTTATTTCATAAATGACAAATGTTTTCCGACATTTCTTATTAGTAACATCCGGGCTTATAACAATAATAGTATATAACGAATATAAATACTATCTGTATAATATCTGGTAACTTATAACACGGTTTTTATTTTGTTGTAATAATTATTGTCATTAAACCTCCTTTGACAAACAAAAATAAACCCTTCTTATTGGCCATATTTTCTGATAATATTTCTTTTGTGAAGTAGGTAAATGGCTTTGAAAAAATATTTTAATGATAACTTTGCCAGTTGAATTTTAATTGTAAAATATCAACTATTTAGAGAAAAATAAACCAGATTAAATTGTAAGATAGATTTATATAGATTAATAATATAATATATTACAAAATACAATAATATTAGTGTATTTTGTAATATTTTGAGGTAATAAATTGAAATAAACTTGTACATATTATACTATTTAAGGTTTTACAGTTCAGTCAGTGTTTGCTACGTTGATATTTGCTGGATCGTTTATCTACGTGGGTCAGCTGAGCCAGTTAATCTACTTAGTTCAAGTGTTTCCTGATAAAATTGAGACTTTTAAGACTATAAACTGCATCAGCGCGTCATCTGTACCCTTATCGAAGTTCGTTTTCATGTGGAGTGCCAGGTAAAAAGCAAAGGAGAACGGCAGATTTCGTACCGCTTTGCTAAAAAAACATTTGTCATTGTTATGCCTTAAAAAATTGGGCAGTTATAGAATCCCCTAAATCCGTAATGTTAGCATATTTAATAGATTTTTAGAACTTGGGAAACCCTAGAAAAACTGATATTCAATAATGCTAAGAAGCAATCAACGAAACGTTCAATAATATATAACGTATAATCAGATCATTTACTTGGTTAAAACAATGCCAAATACAAAATTTTATAGCGGTACGAAAGTTCCATAAAACTGCTGCAATTCTCCTTTTGTGTCATCACTACAATTATGTCCCTATTGCTCATTTAATGTAGGTATTTGCTTCCCTTAATACAGGGTGTAATAAAGGAACGCTTCAGAAAAACGCGGACAAAGAAATAGTTTTATAATTTTAATAGTTTTTGTTATCCATGCAAAATCAGTCATGAGCAGTTGATTACAACTATTATTACATAAAAGAAACGTTTAATTTCTTACAATATGACAATAAAATTTGTATTTTACCATCACCTGTGCGTTTTCAGGTAGCGTTGCGTTTACACCACAGATTATACATTGTATAATAAAAAAAAGTAACTCGGAGCGGTATGGCCCACCAATACACTTATTATATTCTTTAAGCTTGACTTAAGTATTTCCCAACATTTTCCAGCTTTTGAATTTTAATTACTCTATATGAGCCTCTAGCATGGATTGAAACTAGTTGAGTTCCTCGTGAGTAAGTCGAAAACATAATAACTAATTAGTTAGTCACTTTTATCATTTTATAGGAGTCGTTTAAAGACCGTGTTTGAGTTGAGTCGCTATGGCCTGTCTTCGATACCAGAGGGCAGTGCATCCAAGAAGAGAATGCTCGGTATACTACAACGTGCCCGCTACGTCTCCTGGCTGGTGGTAGCTAATGAAGCCTTCACCCATGTCACCTACTTATTGATGCCTTTCTTGTTCACCGTTTTTGGAAACGATCGATATTTGCCCACAACACCTGGCGAAACTTATGGTAAAAATTTGTAATGGTTACTTAACTTTACAAAATTTTAATGTATATGTCATATTCAGTGTGTAAAATGTAAATGTGTAGAATAATTAATTATATATTCCCATGTATGCTTGGTTATTCCTTGTTTATCTTGTTTTATATTCGATTTCACAAAGTCTAAGGTGAATTTAATTGCGTTATATTTTATTATTTTCAACAACTCTCATTTATATTCGCAAGAAAACGTTTATTTGTTTGGTGTAAACAATGAATTAGTAACAGTTACTTTATTATTCCAGGATTAAGTCCGAAATACGAGACACCATTTTACGAAATAACATTTGTCCTGACGTGTGTCGCGACCGCTTTTTCCGCCATTAATCAGACTGGCTACATTGTGCTCTTCGTCACGCTCATCTGTCACGAGCTGGGACACTTCTACGCAATCACGGAAGCACTGGACGAGATTCATACAATCTTGATAGAGAACGAACGTTCTCGAAATAATGTTGGCGAAGAAAGAGAAAGGGAGTCAGTCGACGAATTGATAATGTTCTGCGTGAAACATCACCAGTTTCTAATGCACTACCACGCCAAGATACGGGAGTTATACAAAATGATATTTGGAGCACACTTTCTCAGTATGACGGTTGTTTTGGTAACAACACTGCAGACTATGAATGCATGGGATGTGCGGAACACGATACTGACGGGGGTGACGGGTATCATGCCATTGTTTTTGTATTGTTTCGGCGGCGAAATGCTCATATCCGCGGGGCTACAAATGTCCACATCTGTTTACAGCTGCGGCTGGGAGTTAATGGAGGCAAAACAAGCGCGTGGAATTCTCTTGATGCTTTGTCTATCGCAGCGCCCCCTGTATTTAACCGCAGCCGAAATATTTGTTATGAATAGAGAGACGTTCGGCGATGTGGCGCAGGTTGTTTACAAAATATACGCGGTTTTCAATTAAGTTTCGTATTACTCACATACGAATAACATACTAGTGGATATTATGTCGTAAATATAGCTTCTAACATATTAGTGTAGTTTTAATTTCACTCGCCGTTACCCGAATAAAATGTTTTGTGTCGATCTAATTTTAGAAAATGTAACCTTTGTGGATAACTAATAAATAAATTCGGATAAAACGGTGCACAAAACTCTCCTATTCTAAGTTAGCGTCCATATTCAGAACATGTGAAGCATAGAAAGAATATTTCAACAATAGAACTTGCTATTTTAGGATATAAAAAAAATTTGTAATCCGAGTATTTACTTTCAAAATTAGATATTGCATTTTAAACTATGTTACACTTTAAGTAGGTTCAAATTGGCAGTAGAAATGTTTAACCAAAGTTGACAGCTTTATTCAAATGACAAAAAAGTACTTAAGTTTCTCTACACTACAATCACTTTAGATTTCCATTGAGAAAATGATATGTCTAGTGAGTTCTCTAAGTAATGTAAGTAATAATTTGCTGAAGACGTAAGAATATTTAAAGTTAAATAAATGTGGTGTCAAGTAACTGTGTGTGTGTGTCACACGTCATTTGTCTACGGTACCTATTTGAATTAAGAAAGCAGTTTACTTTTTTTTATTATTTTCTTAATATTACGGTATTTGGAGTTGACAGCAATTTCGCTGGAGACAGAGATACCGCGAACGGCGTGACGACGGCAATTTCTTATCTACTTATTTTTGTTTTAGTACAATTTATGACTAGGACTTTGTCAAGCTCATAAGACTTTGTATGTGAGATGAAGGTATAAAAAATCTGTTTGAAATAATGTCCAAGTACTTATTCTAGGAAAAAGGACTTGGGTAGGGCATTGTTTTACGACACTGTATGATTTGTATATCATTGTAAGAAAGTTATTTTATATGTTAAGTTATTTATGTAGCTATGTACCAACTGTTTTAAAGTATGTATCAGTGTAATCAATTTTTCTTTACTATTTATTACTATTGGCAATGAATCCACGTGGGTAATCAATACCGATGCTATATTATTTAATGAATTATAGTCGAATAATTGAACATTGCTCGATTCACAGAAATGTGAAATTCTTTATGACGTGAAAAGTTAATTTCACATGTCACGGAGTCACGCCACGGTGTCTGACAAATGACGGTCACTCCAGATTAAGCATAACGAGCGTGCAAGTCATCGTCACGCTTATTTATAATTCAAAGTTACTGGTATTACACTTAGAAATTCTACAGTGCGCTTACTGCTTACTGGTGAAATAAGTTCACTATAATAATTATTCATTAGTAAAAATAAACATAAATTAAAATATTATGTTCCCTTTTCACGTCAAATAGAAACAAATAGTTTTCAATTAATTATACAAAACGCAACATGTTGCAATCGATAAATAACTTTTTTAATGAACTTGTTCAACCGTCGAAATGTTCACAATCAACGTATTTGCATGACAAAAGAAAATAAATATTGGCCAATTGTTTCTGAATATTGATAGCTTTTTGTTGTTCAGCCAATGTTTTTTAATAAAGTCAATGTTTGGTGCGCCTTATTCAAAGGCATTAGTAAATAAAAAATGTAGTAAACACCGGAGCTAGACACGAACGAAATTAATTAAGTTGGAACTACGTATGAGCGGAGCAAGAATTTAATTTGAAAAACTGAATATTCAAGAGTATGGTAACGATATAACGTTACACTCGCATCAGCTTCGAATTGAATTGCACTAAGTATTGGAAAGCAACGTGATCGCAATACAGCAGAGGTGAGGCGACGCAACATTATAATACAAAGTGAATCTTTATCTGTAGTACAAGAACGCTTTCTTTGAAAGACTTTTAGTATTTATAAGTCAGCGATCTATGTCTCTCTGACAAACGTAGTCGAGCGAGCCGCACATCCGACTGAGACGCTTACAAAATCTCTTTGTGGAACAATTTCATTTGCGAAGTTATAGAAGCACTTAGTACTGTTATTGGGATTTTTGTCGCGTTTAAACTTCACTTAGAGTAAGTCTCTGTGAGCTCAGCTTATATTAGATGCTCCTTGAGAAACGTGAAGCTCACGAATTTGCTAAGAGGGAAATAAATAGTTGAATTCTAATTCATAATGTTTTATTTTCGAGTCTAGTGTAACATGAGCAATGATATTTATTTTCGTGTGTATATTTATAAAATTATTAAAATGCTAACGAATGCAAATTATAGTTATAAGTTACATGAGTGCTACACTTGTAACAAAAATATTACAAAATAATAATATTTCCCCAGTACATTGACATTTCACAATCGATTATGTCGGAGTAGTCATGCGACATATGAAATTGTTCGAGTATCACAGGTATGCTTCAGTCCGATCGTAGGTAGCTCTTTAAACGGTCACGTTCGAGAGTTTCACTGAAAGCAACGAATGGGATCCAGATGCATGTATGTAATGGACGTTCTTATTGATGTCAAAAGCATTAAAGTATAGTCGTTCAGTTCGTTCACGCACCTTTGATTTATGAAGGGAACGCGTCGATATGTTTCAAACGTAACGTAAATGGGGTAGTGCTGTTGCGATAATAGCGCGGTCGTGTATGGTTTGATCACTGTCATAATCACTTCACTGAATTTATATTAGACTAGCTACTTCACCTGCTCTGCTCGGCGTCTATTGATCTTAGCGTTATGTTTTATAGGCTATAGCTCTCCTCAATGAACCCACTATCTAATGATAAGTAGTTCTGGAGATTAGCAAACAAACAAACTGTTCATGCTTATATAATAGTAGGTATAAGATTTTTTATTAAATTAAATTTTAGAGGATTATGGATGGATGTAAAAATAAATTTAGGTAATATAGTCATAAATTTTTTGTGCAGGTATCAATTGGACTATTTGGCTTTTCATGAAACAATTATAAGTTTACATTAAGTTTAATGAGACCACGTTCAAGTACTAGACAAAATATAACTATCTATTTACAAACAAGACTCCCGAGACACTCTCTGTAAGACCATTAAGTTGGCTAAACACATTAAATAGATGTATTATTTAATGTGCTCGGGGATATGACAGTAAACTATTTAAAGTGCATTATCATGTTCTCACTTTACACCTTAATTGTAAGTTTTAAGGTTCAAAATTCATTGTTTTATATAATGTGCTAGCGTATACATATTATTATGTATACTTAAAGCTCATTCACTAAGTTATCCATCACTCTGTTTTATAATGGAAGGGCATTGTCTCTGAGAGTGAATGATCGTTTGATGATCTATAACCAGAAAAAATTAGAACAACAGCGTGTCGTAGGAAAAACCATGATTAACACTGACGTGTATAGCTTTCTGTTTAAAATGCTTTGATTTAATTAAGAGGTTGTGTGTAATGTCTATTGTAGTAAAGCCAAGGATACACTAGGGGATAAATGTCATGCGACCTGTGTCGTTAGCGACGTTGGATGAAGTAGTGCGACGTTGCCGGACTTTGGTCGACATGTCTGGCCACATCAACATCGCAGTTGACATAAGTTGCGAGTTGTCGCCATATATGTCGGGTTTAGTAGTAGTTTTTAGTCAAATTTCCGTTGTGCTTTGCGACTGGTCTTCACCCAGTTGTATAGTCTCTTTTTTGTGCCTTTAGCCTTAATTCGTTCTGTCTCCTGCAGTAATTCACCGATGGAAGTGGAAACTATCATATTTTTTTCTTCTCCTTTTATAAAATCTTCTGATTCACTTCGTTGCGGGAACCAAGACAGTTATTTATGTCCCTGGGACGCGCCGGACTTCAGTGTTTCGATGTTTTCATAGTTGTATCTACTGTAGGTTCTGGCTTACAGGAGTTGCAGCGGTTTTGGGAGGCTGTGGCGGGCTTGTCTCAATTATCCTCCCTCCCCTCCCCAGTCTCTCCAATCCCCGAATCTCCCACAATTCTCAAATACCCAATTCCCGTTACGCCTCTAGTGTTTAGGTTTTAGGCGGCGCCGATTGCATATCATCAGGTGATACGTCAGCTCGTTTTCCGGCTCATTCCTTAAAAAAATGCGAGAGAAAATAAAAGCCAACCCTACAACAAATATATTATACTGCACAAACTGAAGAAACAACAATTTGCTGTACCACACGTTGAACAAACGTGCACAACGCAACAATTGTAACACACCAGACAGTCAAGTCAACACAACATACGTTGTAGGTTGCACGTCTAAAGAGAAAAGGAATCCGATCTTATTTTTGAGGTGGTTTTGAGCCGAGCCACCCATTTCCTGCGCTTTGCATACCGTTCACTTTCCGTCCTTTTGAAAGGTTTCCAGTTTTCAGTTCCGTTCCCCGACCCTTAGCTGCAATTGCCTTTAAATGCCCCATTTGTGAGTACTTAAGTTTTTACAATAGATTTATATTTTGATTGAACTTTTATAGCTATTAATGTGAACAAGAATAAATGGTATCGTCCTTTTAGTGTTATTTCGATATGGCAATATCTATTTGTGAGGTTTTAGTGTTATTGAATAGTAAAATTAATATCGGATTGATGATTTAAATTATTATTTTATATTACTTAGTTAATGTTCAGTTATTGAACATATAGTCGTTATATTGAACATATACTAATACATAGTATTTTCCCATCAAAATTAGGCATCGAGCTAGTGAAATATATTGGCTAGCGCATCTGTTAGTGAATGCATTATGGGTCATTGAATGATATGATAGCATCGTAAATCTTAGGGCGCAGTGGCGCATAAAATGATTGCACCGTTCTTTATGGCAGGCTGTCATGCTAATAGCACAGATATCTGGGAGAGTGAACGATTTCACAGTAAAAATCAGAAGCCAAGGCAAGTTAAAATTATTTATATAGAATTTATTATAAGTTCAAAACCAGTAACCCGTTTATGACTCAATGCCAATAACAAATGTGTGTGTGTATAAAATGAACATTTAAAGTGCATTAGTGAGTATAATAAAATGGACAGCAGTTTTCTGGCAAAAAAAAGTTAT